ATTTGCATCCAATTTCCATGCTTATTAAACCACGGTAATTTTTCTCTCTACACATAAAGGGCTTTGCTCCTCTAGTGACAGAGAGGGCTGTTTCAGACAGACTGGGAGGCAGGTGGTTGTTAAACTTTGTCAGGCCTGTCTGCATAGCAGGAGACAAACAACCCAGGCCTCAAGCCTGCAGATGTGCACTTAATGAACTCTGGAGTTTTTCTGCTAAGATAAATTATCGATGTCTGTTCCACATCACATGTGTTGAGGAAAGGGGAGATGAGGACCTGGGCAGCATCCCATCCCCTCCTTTCAGAAGGAGCAAGCCCTATGGTATAGAATGGGTGACATGAATGTGCTTCCCAATGGCTGCAGCAGCTTTAATGCAGCAAACACTAGAGACCACAGAAACAAAATAATTCCTTTTCATGTGTTTTACTTTAGTGTCTATTAGTTTCTTTTGTGTGGAGAGTAGGAAGGCTTGGAGAGGGAATAAGTAGCTAGACTCAGTGTGATGCCTGTGAAGGCACTAGAGAATTCATGATGGGGATTTAATTATTCTAGTATCGACAAAAATGAGAATTAAAGGAGGAATCAACCTGCTGACTTCCACAGGCAGTAAAAAAAAGGTTTATCTTTCACTGTTTATTGAGCTCTTGGATATGATAAATTCAATAATGGTCTGGTGGGTGTTTAGTGCTTTACGATAATATATCATTTGGCTTAAAGTAATCATGGTCTTAGGCTACGAAGGTAACAAATTAAACTTCAGACAGCACCATGTTGCTAAACTCAAATATTCCCAGAAAGATGGTGGGAGAGGAGTGGGGTGAACAAAGAAAAGTGATATTTAAAGCAAACTGAGTAAATAATGCAATCAGGTTGATCCTAGTAATAACAGCAAAGAGTTAAAATTTATAATGGAAGTTACTGGAGTAAAGCAACAACATATCAAATATAGACAGAAAGCAATTACAAAAGGTATAATAGAAAATTGAAAGAACAAGCTAGATGATGTAAAAAGCTCACAAAAGCTCTGTAAAACATTCAAGGGGAAAAGTTGCACTTGCTAATACTAATCTATGAAGGCTGAGGGAATGTTAATTAGCATCAAGATGCTCTTCATTTTTACCAGAACATACGTGGTTCCAGGTTTAAACAAATGACTGAATGATACAGACTGAACTCATTGGTGGTCTTTTAAAAGTAAAAAAATATTAGAGCTCTGGCATCAGTCAATAATGCACCAGAAACAGATTTACTGTATTTTCAGAGAATTCCTAAAGCCACCTCTCTATCTGCAAGGAAAACATCACTTACATGAATCCACTACTTGGTGTGATTTGAGCCAATGCTGTTGTGCTCAGCTCAAAAATTTTGCTACCTTTCAGGCGTTCTCAACACCACTGATTTTATTGCATACACCAATTCAAATTACTTATAGGCTGTAAAAGATAAAAATACAGTAGGAAAAAGTAGGGAATATGGAATAGGAACAAATATAGACATAAATCAACTCAGGGTTCAATTCCACATTCCACCTCAGCTTTTCTAGACAAGTCAGTTACTTAGATGTCTAGTAGGATTTTCAAAGCCATCTTACCTTCAAAATCCTCAGTGCTTAGTCCATGTTTCCTCAGCACAGGGCTGAGAAGGGTGTTCATTACTTATTAAGACAGCTGATTCTGCAGCTGCACTTTCAGCATCTAAAGAACAAAATTCACACAAGGAAAAACAGCAGCAGGAATCAAGCTGTGGCCTCAGATGGGTGATGCTGAAAACCCACAGAACTGCCTTCTTATTTTCCCAGTACAAACATATTTGCTGATAGAAAACAAAACATCTAAGGAAACACAATAGTATGAACTGCCATACCAGAGGATGTCATGTTTACTGTCAGCCTTGACTGAACTGCTTTTCTTCCTTTGCCGAGTTAAGAGAAATTGGCAAGGACCACTGCTATTCTGCTGGGTAAAAAGTAAACCTGGTAGGAGGTAGGGACCCTTGGTCAGTATATCAACACATAAAGCAGTCACATTCCTTTTAGAGATTTCCTCCTGAAATCCTGTCCTCCATAGGCAGGGGAGCACTGAGCTGGCTGGCTTGTTGGGCACTTCACCCCTCTTTGGCCCCAAAGGGATCTACAGACCCAAACAAATGAACACTTAGCCCCAAGAATCTGATTCACACAACTAGGTAGTTGACATTAAGCACAGCAATTCAGCAAGTAGTGAAATTTAGATTTAAAAAATAAATGCAACTAAGTCAATTAACTGTGAAGAAACCTGTGCTTTTCCACCCTTGCTCAGAAGGCTCGTTCCTCTTTTTTAAGACTTAAGAATTTGTTTTCTTGCTTTTAAGCACCTTAGTTTTTTTAAATTGCTGTATCTTTAACAACATTGCTGCTTATGCAGCAAAAACACTTGTTCATGGAATCTGATAGCCATCTAATGAAGATGATGCTTTAGAAACTAAGCTGAACCATCTGTGAATTGTAAAATTCAATATTAATGATCCATTTGATTCTTAAACAACAGAATTCTGTGCATCACTGATAAGCCAACCAAATATACATAATATTCACTGATGCTTTTGATAGAAAAATCAAGTAACTTTCAATGCCCTCTTTATCCGGAGGGCATTACTCTCATTTGCAACATAATTCAGCCATTTGCCCATATTTAGCTCACCAAGTAAATAAATTAATAATTATTTCACCATTGTGCATGCAAAAAATAACAGTAAACAGAGCATTGAATTTCTAGTAAGAGTCAATGTCCAAATGTTAGTCCCATTCTGCATTTATTCTCTGTATTAACATAAATTAAAGGTGCACAAGCAACTTTTAACTGACATTTTCAGTAGGAAATCCTGAAAAACATCTTAGTTTTAAGAATACACAATCAATTGCAAACCTTAAACATGCAGAGCAAACGACATGTGAATATGCAACTTTAAAGAATACATAAGGTAATCTAAAACTGCACTGGACAGCACTGGAATGCAGTCATGCTGAATAAAAGGAGATCTCTAGAGCAACATGCTCTGTCTCACCAGGGCTGTCACCACCCCAGGTCTGTGAGTGAAGGGCCATGAAGACTGCAGAGGTACCAGGTACCACCCAGGCACCTGTGTGAGCAGATGGAGGCAGGAGTTTGCCCATGCTGACCACCACATTCATACCAACATACCCTCCCAATGCCCCAGTCCATAGCATGGGTAGCATGCACAGTCCTCAGCCTACCCTTGCTCTGTGCATGTGGCTCTGAGAGACCATGTTGCTGATTTTTCTGCTTGGCTCTGTGTATCTGATTATTGGTTTCTAAATATAATTGGAGATACTGATTTCTTGGCATTTCATACATCAGTTCTGCTTTAGAAAAATTACCTCATGCATTAGTTTTCCCTGTGTTCTCAAAAAGCACTGTGACTTCTCTGCCAAGTGAGAAACTGCAAGCTATAGTTTTTGTTAGGAATAAACACTTCAAAAGCAGAATAATCCTCAAACACTGGGCTGGATGCAAGTAGGACACCAGCATGCTGCAGAATGTAAAGAAAATAACATTTTGAGAAGACATGATGGGCAAATCCTAGGTTCAGAAGAAAGCAGTAAAACAGCAAGCATCAACACTTGTCTTTTTCCTTTATTTTAACAGCATTCCTAATGTCTAAGGTCATTCACTGGCAAGGCCCACAGTTCAGAGATCAGAATATCTGGTAGTCCCCTCAAGGCACATTGACATGTGCATGCCTTTCTTAACATTCACCACCTTGAAATCAAGATGCAGTGAAAAAGTCTTAAAAACTCTTCAAACACTTTGCTTTTCCCTCAGATATTTCCTCACAGCAATATAATTGTCAAGGTCATTAAGCAGAGAGCATGATGTTTTATCAGAGCTTCATCTCAAACTCTAAACATACATGCTTTTCTCAACATTCTTCATTTTTATTATGATCATGATAGAAATTCCTTCAGAGGGATTAGAGTGATCACCAAATTAAGTTTTAATTATTTAGGCCCAAACTAATGCAAAGTACCAACAAAAATAGCATCCACATTTCTAAGAATGGAAGATTTTGTAAGCTTAAATATTTAAATGTAAAAGGACTTTATTTCAAGTATTATAAAAGAGAAACATTGCCACTTACTGGCAGTACCAATGTCTTTGCAATACTTGTAGGCATTTATGTGCATCTTTCAAAAGCTCTATTAACCTTTATACTCTTTGTCAACAAAAAGCCCCATTAACATTTAAACTGTGTATGGCCAACTGTCTAAACAAGAATCAAAAAATAGCCTGTAAGAAATGGTTATTTATTACAGAATACATTATTTGGACTGTGCATATTGGAGATTTCAAAAAGCTCACATTTCTTAAAGAAAAAAAAACAAACAAAACCAAAAAGCAAAAACTCAAACCAATCATCAATTGGCAAAAGGGCTGCACAGGGCCTGAGCAGGAGATCTGACAGCTACACAGACCAGTGCTTATCACCAGCAGCACAGTACAGCTTTGGAAAGAAAAGTACAACCACAGCTGGAGTCACTTCACTGGACTTCCAAAGGGTTCACACTGTGCATTAAACTGAAATTTAAATGCTGTATTTGAAGGAGGATCAACAGAACTGATCTAACATTAACAACTAACCTTGCCTAATATTAACAATTTATCTTAATCAGGCAAAAACTTGATTTTAATCAAAGATAACATAATCATTGGGTAAGAACTGAAACCACAGCTGTGTAGATAACAGACTCTTCCATCAAGCTGCTGAACTGGAAGTACCAAAGACACAATTCACCAGTTCATGGACGTCCCCCAAAAGTTTTTTTAAACACCATTTAATTAGTGAAATCTTTATGTGCTGCTTCTACAAAGTGGTTATTTCAAAAGGTAAGGAAAAATGAGTCCAAAATCTAGAGACTGAAAGTGAAGTCAAGTAGTCTATTAACACTGCTTTTGCAAATCATTAATGAAGACAGCATGACCTGTTACTACTGAAGAGAAAAAGAATTGTCTTCAAGTATGAGAGATGCATTCACAGTAACAACAGAGACATTTATTTCATTACTTTTCAACAGAGTCCATGGAAAATTTACAACCAAAATGGAGCTAGTATAACAAACAGCAACTCACATAGCAACAACGAAAATGTTAAGTCCACATTTTCAACAAAAATGCATTTTAGTGGCTTCACTTCCTCAGGCTCCAGTTGGACAGAGCACCACTTCTGAATCACCGATTGCATCTCACGTCCGTCTTGTCTTCTGTTTTTTTGTTTGTCTCTTTGCATCCTCTGAGCCACCCGTGTCAGAGGCTGTCTGTCCAAGAGCACGTACTCCTTGCAGTCGCGTTGTCAGCTGTAGCAGTAAGGGAATAAGCTGGGCAAAAAACAAAGGGGAAGCAGCTTGTCACTACAATGGTACAGAAGGTCTGAATTGTATCATTCTTTGGAGTCATGCATTCCCCAAAAAAATGGAACCTATTGCATAAACAGCACCTCTACAGAGATATCCAAAAAAAGACAGCAAATCTTAGAAAGGAATTAACCCAAACTTCTGGGAATTTCTGATCCTCAAAAACTAAAATGATTTTTTTTTTTTTCCTGAGTCATCTAGCAGATTGAACCCTGAGTCTAGAAGATGACTGCAATTTTCAGTGGAGGTGCTTTCAGTGACACTGTAGAAAATCTTGGAGAATCCCAGGTTCTGTTCTGTCTTACCCATGTCTGAGAGGAAATCAAGCTGCAAAGACAGTTTTATTTTATCAGCAGAACAGAAATCCAGCTGTATCAGAGCAGAGGAGTAGGTAATTATACTCCTCTTGAGACCTTTTCACTAGAGAGAATATAAAGCTACAGAGACAAGACTCAGTGACTTGCAGGAGTTTTTCCAATCTGATTGCTCCTGAAGCAAATAAAATCACTCCTATTTCACTCCTATTATCACAGAGTCTGGTTATGTGAATTTGAATAATGCTATATTGTGGGGTTTTTTTCCCCCTGTGAGAAGACAAAATTCAGAAATTGCAGAGGTAGTTACCTTCAAATAAAGTCTTTTTAAAGGATGGTAATTGTCTGAAAACTTGGCTACATTGCATTTCTTAAAATGTGTCCCTTAAGGTGACTGCTGACTGCATCTCTGTCTGGATAATCACCTCAACAAACCCTCACTTACCACAGTACCGAGTTAGTATTCATTGACAGGACAATAATATTTGGATAAGACAAAACAACCCATGACCTACCTTATCGTGGTTGTAACCAGCCAACAACAGAAGCAGTGTCAGTGGTAATGCAATGTAAGATCCTTGGGCGATATCTTGTTCAGGCAGTTTTCTCTGAAAACAGCAAGGACCATGGATTTTTATTTCTTTCAAACAGTCATTTTGACTAAGAAATCCCTCAGTTTTAAGCAACATCAGCAACAGGATCACATCCAGCCCTTCCTAATGACTTCCTTCTAAGTACTGCTCTAAGATTCACTTCAACTTCAAAGCACTCCCCTTGATCAGATTCATTCACCTATTACCTTCCTTCTGGGGTTTGCTGGCTTTTAAAGCTAATTCACTGATGGCCAGTCTCCACTTTACAGTCTGCCTGGTGTGCTTTGATTTAACTATCACATGCTGCCCAAACCTGTGATCCCAATAATAATACTACAGCAACCACACTGACATAATATCTTTCAGGCATATCTGCATTTTTAATTTCATGCCATTTCATGTTTCCCTCATGTTTCACTGGCATCTGAACATGCAATTATGCAGAAAAGAACCAAATCCTATAAGCATTACAGAACAAACACTTCACTAAATTGACTGCAGAAGTGCAAAAAGACATTTCTTTCTCTTTCTTTCTCCCCTGATGCTAGTTTAACCCCTCTCCTTTACCCTCTACCTCAGGCTCCAAAAACTAAAGCTGTCTTCTTGGCCTCGTGATACTTCTTTCAAATACACAGAAGTCTTTACAGGAATTCTGACAACAACTCTACCTTTCTCCTTCAGCCCCCAGTTACTGCAGCCTTTCAATTAAATGTCATGGCTACAACTCCTTCCTGAACTCCTTACCTGCCTCCCATAACATACCAGGTTATCACAACCCTCCCTGATGCCCTGAATTTGGTGAAATCCAAATTGGCTGTCACTTTAATGCCTCTCATAAACCTCTTTATATTTACATTAACAGAAGGTTTGGCCAAGACCACAAAATCCATGCAGGCTGCACTACCAGACATTGCTCTCAAGGTGAACACTCCAACATTTAAGTACTTTGTACTTACAGTGGGACTAAAGACCAGTGTGATATGTTTATGATATCCAATAGCAGTGAATGAAACTTGAGGCAGGGTGTAGTCATACTGTGATTTAGACAACGTAGAATCCAGGAGCACCACGTAATTCTATGGGTAAAAAATACATACAGTCTACAGTGTCAGTAGCAGCCTGAGATAAAATAAAGGCAAAAGTCTTTTTTTAACAGACTTAAAATCTTCTGAGACTCTGGTCACTCCAGCATGAATACAGTACTGAAGGCACACCAGAATTAACACTTCAGTGTCCTTAGACAAAAACCTGAAGTGAGCTAGGTTAATTATTCAGCAATATTCTTACCTCACCATCTCGGAGCAGCGGTGGGAAATGGAAAAACAGGGATAGCCCTAAGTTGACTGTATGAATTGGGTTGTCAAGATTTTCACTTTTGTAAAGCTTCACCTGTGAAAGGAAGAAGAAAGCACAAATCAGGTATTTCTTAGCCTGCACTACAACAGATATTTCAGACATTCCACAGCCTAAGGGATAAAAGCACTTAAAAAAAATTGTGTGTTTTATAAACAGAAAGTTGTCAAGAACACCTAGAATTAAATACTGAAATAAATTCCTATTTTCTCAGGCTGAATTGCAAGGGCCTAAACTTCCCCAGAAAGAAAGAGAGCTTGCTTAGATGCTCTTCAGTAAGGTGATAAATTTTCCTTTCACATTTTCTCCTGCTCTGAGGTTTGGATCCTTTGGATGTCTCCCAAAAAACCCAACAGCTTAGCGATGACATCTTGTCAGGTGAGGTGCCAAACAGCCTGGTATGAAAGAAATCCAGGCATTGCATTTATATTTGTAGGTTAACATTTCCAAGAAGCTTTTAAACCTGAGAAATGGTACTATAACTCCTACTAATATCTCTTCTAGATACTTAGGGGCATTTGCACCCTAAGCCAAAAGGTGTGAGGCAAGTTTTTTTTATCACAGTGCAGCCTTTTGAATTTTGATAATTTCAGCTTTACTATTGGTCTCACACTCTCATAACCGTACTTTTAAGTCCATGTGTCCTATGGTATCGTTCCATTCACATGGTATCTCCTTGCAAGCACACATGCACCTCAAAAAATCCAGGTATTTTAGGAATTAATGCAGTTCTCTGATACAGACTCATTTCACCCCTGGTGTCTTGCTCTCCCTCTAGACACGGCATACCTAACCAGGAAAGCAGACCCAGAAAAGTACAGGCCAACCTGAGACAGTATTTTTTAAACTCACATGAAAAATGGAAACATTAAAGCAAAGCAGTGAGAAAAACTGAATTTCCAGTAACTCTGCAAAGAAACATTAGGAAACCAATGGCAAACAGACTTGCCAGAGATAAAAGGCTTGAACTTACACATAATGTGGAGAGATATTCAGAAGATGTAATTACATTTCCACTTAAATCAAATTGATTAATTTGCCGGAATGCTATAATATTAACGTCATCAATATCACTGTTCCCAACCTGCAATGTAAAAGAGTCATGTTTTTACCAACTGAGGAACAGTTAACAGAGCACAGTTAGCACAACATAAATATTGGTCACAATTTTAAACAGGAAGTGAATTTTGTTCTATACTAACCCCATGGAAACTTGAAGGCTTCCCAATTGCAAGTGCCTTTCCTCCCGAATGCACAGCTTGCAAGTACAGACTTATGCATTATCAGCACAAGGCTGATGTGACCAAGTTAAACTAAAAATTTAAGAACTGTTAAAAACATGCATTATTTTGGAAGAGGCAGAGCTACATACACAGGACTGCCTGAAGTCTGAACACTGGTCTGGGCATTTTCCATCTGTGCTGAGATGCATATTACTATGCTAGGATGTTGATACAATTGATTAATGAGGAATACACTCATATCATAATATAACCTACTTCAAAAATATGTAACTTGATATTATTCAAAATTGTTTAAAATACAAAATATTTGTGTTTCTAAATCCCATCAGAGTAAGAAAAAACATTTACTCAAATAATAACTACAGCCACAGGGAGGCCAGGGTTAGGCCAAGTGCCTTATCAACAGTCCAGCACCACTGAGGCTGCACAATTTCCTGCAGGGGTCTTTCAGATGCTTCTTTCTCCTGAAGAAAATGGCAGGCTAGCCAGGATACCATTAGTACAAGCTACTGCATACAGCTGTTGCTTGCAGTGCATAACCTTCATATGATTTTCTGGAATTCGGGTTGCCATGCTCTTCCCCTTCCTAAGTGGCAGCACCCTTAAAAGAAGAAACTGAAAACCTGGAAGATTTCTGCCCTCCTGTGTTGCTGTAAAGGAGGGCATCCTGGTCAGACATGTGTCTGAGCTCAATTACCATCTCCCACTGAAAAGTTCTGGGCCACTAACAAAGTCTAATTAACCTCTACTGAAGGTCAAGAGATAAATGCAAGGCAACGAATCGGAATCTGTAAGGATGGAGGAATATTTAACAAGTTTTTGTAAGTTTTCAACTCAAAGTTACTATCACATTTTGTAAGGATTTGCTAGTCTGAACAAAAATTTCATCTACATTAAGGCTGCAGAAACTGGACAAAATAACACGTAACAAAATCTATCAATCAAGAACTAAATACAAAGGTAGCACAATATGACAGCTGATGACATCCTCAAGTCACCGGTGCTTTGTTTCACATCATAAAGAAATGCTGGAAAAATATTACATACATTTATTCTCTCATTTCTTACTGTGTAGTTTTTGTGAGTGTGAAATAATTCTTTTCCCTTGTTTACTGTTTGGGCTTATCTTATTTCAGTTTTAAGCTATGATGCTGACACACAATATGGGTCCCATTTTTAAGGAGCTAACTTGCTGAAAGCCCCTTGTCTGAACAGAATGCATCCAACTACATTACTGCAGATAGAACAGCCATAATGCCTAGACAGATGCATTGCATATTTAAGTGAAACTGCAAAAAAAGAAAAAAATTACCTCAATTACCCGATGCTGTGGTAAAGCTCTTTCAATATGATCATTGCCTTCAGCTTTGAGTTGGACGTGATACACACAACCAGGCTAAAAGCAACATTCAGATTATAAATCCCAACACTGAATAAATACATCCAATAATTTTAGAAGACAGCAAGAGATTCCATTTAAGATACACCACCCAAAAAGACCTAACTCTATCTAGGTAAAGTTTTCCTTATCTCAAATAGAAAATTAAATCAGTAACACCATTAGGGGTTGTTTACAGCCAGCAAATACAAATGGTCTATCAGAGAATGTTCACTAGTTTATTACATTACAGTATTAAATAATCTGCTGTGAAGTATTTTAGCTAAAAAGAAAATACATTAAACAGGATTAAAACCTGATCAAATACTTTTTTCTACTTCAGCATAATTGCTTATTCCATACATAGTGATACCAGAAATTCAGCTTCCCTGTTTCCTGCAGAATGCCTTACTTCACATGCATGCTGTACAATCAACATCATACATACACCCTATATTCTACTAAAAATACAGTCACGGTATCTTCAATGTTTCTGGGAGGTCACCCCAGCATGCTGGCAGCAAGTGCCACAGACTGAGTCTAATAGTTTCTTCCCCCTTTACTAGAATGAATGTTCACTACATGACAGTGTAACACAGAAAGACTCAAAGGAATTTGAGCTAGCACGTTTTTATTGCTCCATTATCACACTAATATAAAAGAAAATGACAGAGAGCATTCAAATCCTTACCAGGAGGCCACGTAGCCTGAATTTGCCCTCTTCATCAGTTACTGTGTCTTCTCCATAGATGCTACAATCCATCTGTCCCACAGCTTCCACAGAGACTCCCTGCTCAGGCTCTCCATTTAAAGATGAAACTGTGCCATAACAACTAGGGGTATAAAGAGAACCAGTTGCTGCAGATATGCAGATGCTGTTTTAATGCATAGTTTAAATACAATTTATTGTTATAAATTATGGGAAAAGTATTTAATGTATTTAGCATAGAATTTATAATGTGTATTTAAAACTGTTTAAAGCATTAGAATTAGCTGCAGTTCAGAGCACAACTTTAGAATCAAAGTTCCCTGACCTCCAAGAACAGCAGCACTTACCCCTGAGGGGAAGGAAAGGAAGGATCTTGAAGTCAGACCCCTGAACTGGCAGGCCATCCTTAGAATAGTCTACTCCTGTCCCACTGGAGATAGCACTAGCCACTTCCAACACTTCATGGCAGTGTTTCTCCTTACAGTCCTGCCATCTAGACTTAGCTATATATCTACATGTATAAGAAAAGGCTACAAAAAGTACTTCTACAGCATAATAAAGTTAAATTCTGCCTTCAAAAGTAGCCTCCAAACCTTCAGAACAGAGGTGTATCAGAAGAAAAGGCAGATTTTGCATGCCTCCTGATGAGAGTACATAGCATTTTGCTCTACTGACCTGTAAGCTGTTCTGTAACCAGTTATCCGAATTTTAAGGTTCTGACCCTCCTGCACTTCAATCATTTGTGATGATGGTTCAAAGCGAAACTCTTTCATCATGGGTTTAAAATAATACTGTCCTGGGCTCTGCAAAGAGGCATAAAACAAGTTGTTTACTTATAGTGAAACAGAAGTCCACCAACTCCAAACAATTATGTTTCTGCAAGAGCTCTCTAAAGAGCTAAAACTGTCTGTCCTAATAATAGGCTAAACTGGTTGGAAAATGCGAGCACTGAAAAACAGGGAGCACTTTGTAGAGTAAACCAATGGAACGCCACCAGGTGATAAAGCCTGAAGAGGGAGCGAAAACCTTGGCCCTAAAACCTTACCACAAGACCTCAAGGACAGCAAAGTGACCAGGAGAGAAAGATGTCTGCAAGGAAACCATTCAGGCATGTCTAAATACACGTACAGATCAATTGTCTAATTATATTTCTTCGAAGATTCTCAAATGATCATGAAGAAATTGGCTTGTTTCATATTTACAGACTTCAAATTAGTAACTGAGATCAATCAATATCATCTGCTACCTGTAGGGGAGAAATCTCTTGCCAGGTTAGATTTCACCTATTTCATCTGCTAAGATTTTAAGTGCTGTCCACTCTGAGGGACCTACATCTTTCATTGTGTGTTAGGATTTCAAAGCAGACCATATATCCCCCTGCCACTGAAGAAAGCCAAGAGCTCTCCTATTTTGGAGGACAAATACAGCCTCACACATGGAGTCACACTCAGAAGAATCAATTTCAGCTTACCAGATTGGAAAAAGTCAACATGCCATTATCCTGTGTAAGGAGGTTGGACCGGAACACCCCTCCACTGAGAGACAAGAGAACTCCAGCAAGAGCCTGGTCATCCTCAGATTTGATCTGTTTTTGAAAAAGCGATAGTTTAAGAGTAAATAAGGGCTGCTTTACAAAGAAAGGTTTGGTTCAGAACCCCCTACAGAGTGCACTGATGTGCTGACTCTCAGCACTCAACTGCAAGCAGAGGAAAACTAGCCACATCTGCAGTGTACCCCCCCTCCTGCAAGACTGCAGAGCTACAGAAGCTTGTGCTCACAACATCTGGGCAGTCACAGCTGCACATAGCACGTGCCACCAGAACAGTGATTCTCTATCACTTCACAGGACATGCTGGGGGCCAGAACAAAGTATCCCAAAGACTAGAACCAGGCACTAGTTGGACCAGACTGTATGTGAAAAAAACACCTCATTAAGAGAAGGTGGTCTAACTCTACAAAAGCAAATGAAGCCAGTCTCCTGGACTGCAGGCTCTAACTTTCACTCTATAAGCCTTGCAAAATACCTTCTGTAGGGCAAGTCATGGTCTGCAACTAAGCTCATCCACCGAGATTTATTACCTCATGACAAAATCATGATAAGGACTTTTTACAAGGCCTTGTAGCAACAGGACAAAGCATAGTGGTTTTAGAATGGAAGAGGGTAGATTTAGGTTAGGCATTAGAAAGAAATTCTGTAGTGTTAGGGTGGTGAGGTACTGGAACAGGCTGCCCAGGGAAGTTGCAGATGCCCCATCCCCAGAAGTGTTCAAGACCACATTGGACGGAGCTCTGAGCAACCTGATCTAGTGGAAGGTGTTCCTGCCCATGCAGGGGGGCTGGAACTAGATGATCTTTAATGTCCCTTCCAACCCAAACCATTCTATGACTCCATGAAAATTATCCCCAAATCCCACAACCATCTGTGTTTGGCTGGGATGTGTGGGTTAACTTTTTGCTTGTCCAGCTCTTAGATGCAGACACTGCTCATTCAGAATCCGAAGTGTTTAGAACATTACCTCAAATGTCACCCCAGCAAGAGCAAAAGCTTTGAAGTCCCCAGCTGTTCCTTTTACTGCAGTCAAAACAAAGCCTTCTTTCTGAGCAGTAACTGTATATTCCAAGTCACTGTGGAGTGGCCCAACACTTCAAATAAAGGGAAAGAAGAATCCATATTAAAAAAGCACTTGGATATCACATATATATTGTGAAGTCATCATTGAACTTTAACTAAAACATCCAAAAGATGAAAACAGATTTGTTAATTACCTGTAAGCACCTTTGTCATCAGTGAAAACTGTGACAAGTGGGGAAGTTGCTCCCTTTTCACCAATGACAATCTCAACACCTTCCAATGCAGGATGAACTTGCCCTTCCAGAAATAAGCCTGCTTTTCCATGAATGTCTATCAGCTTTCCAGGACAACTCTCTTGGTCATTGCAAAAGAAATTTAAGACAAACAAGAAAGTGAAAAATACATTCACTATTCTGTCCTATGATAAGAGTATAACTACTTCCAAAGTGACTAGTCGACGTTCTTTTACCTTGGAACAAGACATCAACCCAAACAATTGTGTGGCCTCTTAACACATTCACAAAATCAGTAACTAAGTTCCAAGTTGTAAGTGTATCTCCAAAACAAACATTCTGGATCTGCTGACTGGTTTGAGGATTCATTAAGTTACATACACTGCAGCCACATGGAGAAGATTCCAACAATATTCCCTTCTAGCTCATATTACACTGAGCTTTTACAAAATGTTTTGAGATCAAATTCAGATCAGCATGTCATGTTTAATGACAGAAGTAATATTTTATTTTATCCCCTTACAATGTGCATAATAAAGAGACACATAAGAAGAGGTACCTAACATTTACCAGTGATTTCAAATGAAAATGAAGTATGTTCATTTAGGAACCTGAGGGCAAGATGAACACTGACTCAACAAGCAGCATCAACTGATTGATGATAACCCAGACAATTCTAAAGTTTGCTTTTTTTGTGAATATTTTTATTATTGTCATTGGTTACAAAGAAAACTTAACAGACACTTGGATTTGCTAAGAAAGTCAAAACACAGACATTGCTTTTGCATGACTATTTTTTAAATTAGAGTAATATGAAAAATTCCAAGAATCTGATGTAATAACCAGAAATCTAGTGCCAGCTGGTCTTTCAACACTTGGAAGCATATTCTGCTGATAAAAAATGTACTCACACCCTCTACCAAATACCCATGCTTCGAACTTCCAGAGTAAAAGTGGCCCAAAGAAATAGTTGCAATTGAAACTTTCCTAACATTACCCTGAGGAGCTATTCATACATTCATCTACAATGATCATTTCTGCCTTAAAAACCTTAAAAACTCCTTTCACATTAGATTCTATTTATATTTACCTCCACTAACAACTGTTTCCACATAAGGTGGGTAGAAGAGTAGCTCTCTGGATGATGGTGTCACAGTAATTTTCTCTCCAGACCTATAAGAAACAAGTAAGAAGAAAATTGAATTAGCAACTCGCATATAGAACAGGGTACTGTGTATTGACCCAAGAACCCACCTAAATACCCCAAGGAAAAAATATCAACAATAACCTAAGAGAAAAAAACTATTACGTGGTACTAATTTCCATTTTGCTGACAGTCAAAAAAAAAAACCAGCACAGATACCCATGCAGCAGCTCTTTCCTATATGGAATTTATCATTATTCTGATTGGTGGAAACACCAAACAATACTACAAAGAAAACAACTTGTCCATTGGAGCTTGGTATTACCTTGCCCAGTATGAAAATTCATATAAGAATGGCCCTTGGAGTTCCTCCACCATTTCTTGTACTGGTGGCTTTGTTCCTTCCTCCTCTTGACCCTTCTTTTCTCTCTCCTGTCGTCGGGTCTCAATTTCTGCCAGCTGCTGCTCCCTACGTACCTCCTGTACAGATTTCAGGGGCCCTAAAACTAAGGCAGGTTCACTGTCAATAGATGACCTGAAAACATGGAGGAGAAAACAAAATAATTTCCTTTCATATGAAGGGTTAAGAACTCATTCATAGGGACAACAGGCAATCTACCTGGCCTAACAGGAAAGGATGTACTCTCAAATTGTGCCTCATCACACTATCACCACTCATGAGAGTCTTGGTTTTACACTAAGTACCAGAGACCAGCTCTGCTTCAGGAGCCACAACCTCTCACAGAAGCACTGGCAAGCCAGCAGGTGTGCTCAATTCTTAACCCAAAGAACCTGTCTACAAGACTACCTTTAACAAAGTCCTAAACTAAAAGAGAAAGGCTGGAATTCCAAATCTGACAACATGATTAATATAGAAAGGATGAGTCATACAAAACAAGCACAAAGACTGGTAAGTTCACTTTTTTTTTTTTCAGAACTAGGAACTTTCCCGCAGAATCTATCTCTCAGGTGTAGAGTACACAAAGAGAAAATATCTTCTGTCATAAATAAATACTTCAATTAGTTGGCAATTCCCAGGAAAAGGTCTGAGTTCAAACCTGTCTGCTCCATATATTTGAACTATCCATCTATTTTGTCACTGTCCACTGAACAGATTGCTAGGTAAGTTTAACCATATTCTTTAAATCAGTTCAGAACAACGCATCGTTTAACTTTCCCTGGTCTTACATTCTCTTCCCTAGCCATTTCTTGCAGTCTCCAGCCATCTTTCATCTTATCTTCTGTCTCTTGTACAGTAGTCTGAAAAACTGTCACAGAACATTGCAAAATTCTCTATGAGGAGTGAACTGAAATATCATAATTACTGTTCCTACAACCACTTTAGATTACCAGGGCAGTTCTGTCACCTGCTTTAGTCCTCACCTATATTCTATTTTGACTTTTTTAAGAGAAACAGATACTATTGCAGAGAAACAGATCCTATTTCACCAAGGCTTTAAATTCTGTCTATGCAGTCCAGAAACAACAGAAAAATATGTCAAAATTTTTTGTCTTAAAACCTAGTAAAAATTTGTACAGATATGCACAATCTCATGATACTAATAATAAATTAATACAGTCTCACTTTTCCAACACAACAAGCCATCATAAAAATATTTAAGAATCAGCCTTCTTTTTTGTTTGCTTTGTTGTTCTATTTTTAATTATTAATTGAACGTTAACAAGTCACCACCATGAATTTGGTACAGGAAGACTTTTAAAAACAAGTGTCTTGCTTTTAAATCTATAGCTGTTCCTTCTATGTTGAAGGCATTTTACAAATCAGACTTTGTCAGGCTCAGAGACAGTCTGTGGCAACTGAGCTGGCTTCAAAGCACTTGCCAACAGTAAAAAAATCCAGCCAGTCTAGAAGGTTGGTATATTCACCTCCTCACTACATTGTTTTTAAAACCCTAATTACTCTTAGCTGTCGCAGTGTTTCTTTTCCAGCTGCTGTAGCTGCCCAGTACTTGCAGTTATAGTTTCATTAAACTCAGGGAACTCAAGGCAATGACCTGCAGGTAATTTGCTCTCTGAAAAGATATTTTCTACGCTCAGAAAAAGTTTAAGAAGCCGTAGTCTAGAACAACTGGATATCAGCAAAGCAATAATAAAGCTTCCATTGTTATCAGACACTTCAAGGCAGATCTAGCACCTCATACAATTAAAGCTCTTCACAAATCAGTGTGCCCTAGTTAGCTGTCTGTTCAGCTAAACATGAATTAGCACATTACTGTGTAATCACACTGCATGGTTTTTCTTTTATGACCCTCTTCACACCCTCTTCACACCAGTAACAATGCTCTAAAGTAGCAAATTCTCATTCTGAGGAAACAAAACCAAACAAACCCAGTGCTAAAGAGCTCAGACCTAAGGTAAAATTCTGAATTCTGAATTTTCAGTTCATTAAAGTGTACAAAAACTAAGAAAATAATTTATCCTGACCAAGACACACAAGCAGAAAGCAGCTCTATTGAAATGCAGTGACAACATTCAAAATGAGGGCTGGGCTACAAAGGACTTGAAGTTCAGCTTAGTATGAAAACTTGTTGCAGTCTAGAGTTGGATGGCATCCCCTTAGAAAGCAGCCACTGCAGTATTAAAACCAGAGTAAATATTTGAGAGAAATGTCTTTTTCCTCCCTTTTTTATAGACCCAAGACTTCTTTTTTCTTACTTAATGGTAATAGTCACATCCATTAGTTTATCTGTTACAATCATGCCAAGGACGTGGTGCCGAACTGCAGTGAGTGTCAGGATACTGGGAGAGGACCTGTAAATCAAAGTAACAAACAGATGAATTCAAGGTCCCCCTCCTACAGAAAATAACCAAATCTTATTTAGCAGAGTTTGTGCTCCCATCCTTAGTTCTGAAGTGCTTTATAAAAGGCAATACACAAATTACACAGCAGAGATGAGATGACAGCATATTGGGAACAGAGCCTAGTCCAGCTCTGAACCCCAAACCACTGCATGACATCGGCCAAATCGATTCTCTCCTTTGTGCCTCTTGCTTCCTCTCAAGCTCAAGCTGTTTTGATTGATTTCATGTAAACAATATCTTTACACACAGCAGGACACTCGCTGTCATAGTGGACATAGTTCACTAAGATGCCCCAAGTCTAATAGTGCTTTGCTGCCAAAAGAGCATTTCTGCTTCTATAAATTCACTCACTTTGTACTGGCTCTAATGTTCAGGACATCTGTCTCTGAAGTACTTTTAATTCACTAACACAGCAGAAAAAAATCAGATTTTAATACTGAATTCATTTTATGCCATGTTAATGAATTAAAAGTAGTCTGGGAGCAGGAATCCTCTTCTTTGGTAGCAAAGAGTCATTAAACACATTGCCAGACCATAGCCTATACCCAGTAAAATGTGGCTGATTCAGGAAGACCAGCACTGCTGACTTGTGATTAGGGTGAGTATTTATTGAGCTTGCCAAAACTGGGTAAGCAGAACTAAATCACCATAGAGCACCAGGGACATACAACAGTGGTACATGCCTCCTAGTAAACTTTCTATCCTATCCTTTGCATTTCAACTCCCACAAGTGATTCGCAGTTTCCACTGAAGTATCTCAGCTGTGATACAAAGCAAATCCAATGCTAAACAGACAAAAGGCTGACAAGATCCATTTAAAGTAGCAAAACCTTATTTAAAGCCTATGATTAGTTCATTATTTTTTTTAAGACTAGAAAGGGCAAGAGAACACATCTGATACACTTTGCTGAAGCATCCCTCTACTGGTTATAGCTTCTCATAGCAACATATACTGAATTGTAAGAGCTCAGCTGCAGCAGCTTTATGAAAGCACATTGATATGCAGAGGATCAAACCCAAATTTTCCTCTTACGTGTCGTAAGTGTAATATTCATGTTCAAACTGGTGGCAGGAACGTGGGGTCACTTTATATACACCTGTAAATATTAAGTCAAAGAAGAATCTGTTGAAAAACTTCAAGCTTACTGAATTCTCAAGATCACATGACACCTGAAGTATACAATTACAAAACTTGACTATATATGTACTGCCTTTCACCTAGATGTGTAAACTAGATCACCTCTGTTCAGTCACAGATCACTACTAGAAGCTGCAGTTTCTAATGTACACTGATACAAAACACAAATTAGGCATCACTACAGATAAACATAATTCAAACACAACAAACCAAACAAGATGTGGGACAACAGGACCAAATAGTCCCACAGCTGATACCCTTCAACTGATTATAGAACCACTGTATAATTACGAATGAGACCACTGGCTCATGAAACATTCAAAGCTGAAAACTGAATCAAAACCAAATACATTTTTAACTGTTTTGCTAAGAAACCATAACAGGAAATTAGCTCTAAGACATTAAGAGGGGGAAAAAAAAAATTCTAATTGTAAAACATTCTTTTTCCTGTTATGGATAACCTAGTGGTACTTTTAGCAGTTATCACTCAAGAATCCTGTATTGAAATGGAACTTCTATTTGTCAGTAACATTCTTATGACAGAACTCATATGAACAAGATACTTATTTCTAAATGCTCTTCATTCATTAAAGACCAAAGCCCTTCACCTATTTCCCCCCCCAAATTATTATTTTACTTCTGGAATCTACATTTAGGTCAAAGACTAAAAAGTAGGAGAATTCTAAAAACTTAGAACTGAGCATTTATATACAGATTTAATAAAACAATGCCTCTCAGAAACCTTAGAAACCACAACAGATTTTTTATTTTATTATTTAATTCCCAACAGTATTAGCTGTTCATTTTTCAAATTACCATTTTAGAGCTGTTACCTGGCTTTGAAAGACAGAATCTATTAACTCCTTTGGACAAGTTATAAACACCAACGTTCTCTGGTCCATTTCCATCCTGATAAAATTCCTGCAAAGCCACAACACAACTCACTATTAGTAACTACTGTCAACAAAATAAAAACCGTATTTGCCTAAAGCTACATTAATGCTTCACTTTTGTAGCAGCTAATAAATACTAGACCACTTTACCAAATCTAAGAGAAGAATCCCAAAGCACTCTAAACATCAATATGCTATATGACTCCCCAGAGACACAAGAAAGACTTGATTCCAAGCATAATCCAGTCTGCCTACACAAGTTCATTAAAAAAAGAACATTTGTTACCTACGTACCAGTGTAATTGCATGAGAAAGAGAACACCTCAGCATATATCCAGTCTGCCTGAATTCTACTCCTGAAACATCTTCCTCCATGACTTCCAATTCCAAAGACTTATTCTTCCAGCACCAGTCTTCATGTACAATGCTTACTAGAATACACACCACAAAAAGCATTTCAGTAACGTAAACCTGTGTGAAGAAGGCAGGTTTTGTGGTGTAAAAGCTCTGACTTCCCTGACAATAATCTTCAAAGCCAGATGTACAACAGATATATGCAGCATCATCAGGAACCCAGCACATCTTGTAACAGAAAAGGTATTATAAAAAGGAGCAATGAAGTCTAGTCACTCTGGAAAGCTCTACAATGTGCACAATCATTTTGATAGTCCAGGTAGCCTAGACGACACAGGAACCTAACTCCAATTTCACCTGGCAGAAAGGTGTTCTGACTCGTGTATAAAAAGAGCTATCTGTATATATCCTTTCTCTCTACACCTTCCACTGGAAAACAATTTATTTTCATAATAGGCCAAGGCGGGCTGGTCAAAGCATGTACTGCTCTTTGGAAAGATACTCTGGAAACAGAACTAGAATGTGCTCTTGTTCTCAGGTTTGGGATAAGTCAGTTCATGATAAAGCCCTTTGCCTCACATCCGTCACGTAGACCCTAAAATTTAGGGCAACTGTTACCTGTAAGCTGACAAAAGGGTTTAACTTACAAGATTAAGAAAACTTGAGGCACTGGTGTATAGTATTTTTCCAGATTGTCTCAAGTTTCTAAACTAGTTCCATATTGGGCATATAGCAACCATCGCCCATAATACCAGAGGTGCACAGATTCAGTCACAGATTTAGCTACTAAAGTAACACTTCAAGCCGTTCCCCACAATCCCACCTTTGTATTTGCCAGGTAGCACATTTTCAAACGTGAAGGCCACTGAGTCCATGTTTCCAGAGAGCTGCAGGTTGCGTTTTTCACCCTGGCGGCTCACAGACTGTAATGTCACCATCAGATCACCACAAGCATCTGCACAGAAAGGACAGCAGAAAATGAGACTGCATTCTGGCTTGCCAGCTTTGCCTCCAAAACCCCACTCCAAGCAAACGTGGAGTGTAGCAGGATTAAGGTTATTACTTTCATCTGGTAAAGAATATTTCCAACTCTTACTCTTATTTCTTAAGGACCTGTTTACCAGTGCTTTTTTGCATTCTTCAGGAAGCTTGAGATCGTTAATCATATTCTTTTATCTAATTGCAAGTTAACAACCAGAGGCCAGCATTAAACCCCTGGGTCCACCTTGCTCTGCAGAGGCTAGAGGGCCCAGAAAACATCTGAGAGACAGAACACCAAAAGCAGAGGATTCAGGAGATTCAGAGAGGAAAAAAGAAGTGGTAAAAATGACAAAAGTCAAACTCCAGTCACCATCTGCTGATATCAGTAGGTAATCAAGGAAAACACAAGAGACAACCTTAGACTAAAATAAAAAGCTTATGAAAGAAAACAGATTGCAAGCTTCTGTTAACAGCCTGAGCCTCTATCCTACACTTTTTCCCATGCACAGCTTTTTTTTATGTCTCTTTTGCTCTCAGTGCTTGTCTGATTGATGCACAGCATCCCTAGTGTCAGCCAGGAGAATTTCCTTCCAGAACTTACCCATCTTCTGAGGAAGCCAAACAGGTCAGAATCCCTTCCTGAGGAAGGAATACTTGCTTATTCCTAGCAATTATTAAAAATAGGTACATAACTTTAAGCTGAACTTTATTAAGGCACCTTATTAGGCTGTAAGGTCTCCCAGAAAAGAGCTCCTTTATCCATGTGCTGGAAGTTAACTTTCTTACCTGCTAGTGGAGCTAACCACAAGTGGCTTGATCTAAACAGTACTCATTCACACACTGAAGTTCACTTTTTCCATTTCCACTTCACTTTCAAAACTGGCTTACCTAAACAAGAGATCTTCCCAGAGACGGATGCCAAAAACTGAGAGAAGGTCACATCCATTACTGGTTTGTCTGTAACAGTAACAGGGAACAGTTTGGGTTTCAAAGCCAGCCCTGCCCTGGTCTCAGCCTCTGGAATGATTACCTGTAGATTATATGACATTAAGACATCACTAGGTTTTAAAAACTAGTCCAAATACACCCACCTTGCTGAGTTCAATCCACTTTAACCACCCTCCTAAATATGCTTTTCAAACTTCTGTATTAAAAATCCTTCAAAGAAGTGCAAAACCTCTGAGCTAAAAATCCTCAAACAGTTCAGTTTCAAAAGTCAGGGTGAATTTCACTTTGGGATTTACTGCTGCTTCTACATTAGGCTATTTCACTATCTACAAAGCCTTATCTTCCATCCTACACTATCTCCCATGATCCAAAATTCATGGTGGTTATGCTACAGGCTTTGCTGTGACCTGTAATCTCAGAATCATTTTGCTACCTGAGAAAAGTACATGTTCATGTCTTACTCACTGAATATCATATTACGGTTAAGTAGTAACCTAAGGCACATCACAAGTAAGAGGAGAGAGAGAGAGAGAGAGAGCAGAACTTGCAACCCCAATGGCCTGATCTCCTTTTAACAAGTGTATAGGACAAGGAGCATGGGAATCTTGGCTTATGAAGGAAAAAAAAATTTAAATGCATGTCATTGTTTAAATGGTGAATGGTGCAAACATCAGAAAAGGACAAGGAAAATCTGAAATCACATTCTCCAATTTTAGAAATTAAAATGTTTAAAATATTCTAAAACCTCATGACAGTCCTACAAGGAAGAAATGGAAGCTCATTCTTACCTGCACATTGTATAGACCTGGTTTTGCCTTAAAACAAAATGCTCCACGAGGGTCAGTTTCTGTTGTAACCAGTGATGCTTTGTCTTTGTCTTGAGGCATCATGGTTACCTTGTATTTACTAATCTGCTTGACTGTGTCAGGGAAACGAGTTACTGATATTTGGCCACACACACTGAACCTGTTAAATAAAAGCCAGACATCAGAGTAAATACCTTGATTTGACAAAGCTCATAAGAAAATACTTGTTTTAAAACCTCCTTAGAAAGCAAACCTCACTATGTTGAGCTACTAATGCATGAATTTGAGTTAATTTCTCCTGTAGAGTGTTCTTTTAAAAGAAATGCTGCATGAACAGTTGAGCAAGGTATGATTAATGGGATCTTACAACAGGTAATTTACTGGAACACAACCCTAGTCCACCTATACTTGTGAAAACATAAGACAAGATGACAAATTAGACGCTGTTAAATTTTACTTTTCATCTTCAACAGTACATTTTTAGGGACATAAAAAACTGTAACTGAGCATCTAACAGCACGCAGGTTTTTTTTCTAATTAGCCAGCTAATCCTGCATGAACTAATTGTCATTTTTGTCAGTAAATTCCTAGTTCTCACTCCTCCAGAAGGCTGTCACTATTTTCTCCTCCAGGAGAAGCTCCTGGACAGAGAACTATGATCCTTTTGTCTTCATCAACTCACACTTATCTCTCACCCACTGCTGCCTTATGCTCCCCAAATCATCCCATTGCCATTATGCAGGCTTGTGGCCAGCAGTCAGAGTCACAAAGAAGACAGACAACATATATCTAAGACAACTATGACCTTGAAAGTGATGAATAATAAAATGTAGAGAAATGGTACAACACTGGACTAGACAGTTCTGTAATTCTTGCACAGAAGGAGGATACATGGAATGCAACATCATCAGTAGAAAGCCTCTCTGTTCCTTTCTTGGTTCACATATAGTTCTATAAAAGCTCCATATACCCATGTCTTGGCATCTTCATTTGCAAGGGAGAGGTTATTAGGAGGAACTCTTAAGCCTTAACTAGGATTGAGAAAAATACCGTGGACAAAACATTACCTTGCACTCATGCCATCCTATTTAATTTCTCAAGCAGTATTTAGCTCCTCACAACAGTACTTAAGTCTGGGCCTGGCACGGGAAAGGACTGCTCATTTTCAAGACCTTATCCACGTATCAAACTACATTTTCATCATGACACCAGTACTTACCCTGTTGCAATGATATTTGCTAGCTGAGGTGTATTTGGTGCAATCTTCACTGTAATAGTATCAAAGAAGAGATGCTCCTTCCTGGCTTGAATTGTGTACGTGCCTGTTGTTATGTTCTCAAGCCGGAAAGAGCCATCAGCTTTTGTTTTTACTGTAACAAAAAAAAAAAGAGATCAGTTAAAATACAGACCATGTCTTGACTGTCTGTCCTGTGTCAAAAGAGCTAGAGGGCATGCACTGCTTTAGGCTGTTATTAATTTACATTGCATGACAAAGAAACAGTATTAGTACCCAAACTGTTCTACGATTCTTACTAGGCCAACCTTCACTTCTGTATTTCAAAGCACAATTTGGCATTTGGTTGAAATTTTCTACAGCAAAACAAATGAACACATAATACTCCTAAGCCAGAAAATGCAAAATTAATAAACGGCATGAAAACTTCAACAAAAATAGTGTATTATCCTGAAGGCCTAATTCCATCTCATATACTAGTCCTGTACTTAACACAAGCTTCCCTGTAGCAGCAAAGACCAAGATCCCTGCACACCTTTAATCTGATTGTTCAGAGTCACGGTGGCATCAGCAACTCCTTCTCCTCCAGGACCATTCAGCACTCTCCCTGTGACAGAGAAACCCATCACATGGAAAATAGGCTGAAATAGGAAAAAAGTTAACATTAGTCTTTACTCAATAAAAGCAAACATACACCTACAGCAATTAACAACAACTGTTTTCCCCACACATGCATATAAAAAGAAAATCTATTTCCAGCTTTAGGAAAAAAATGTACCAGGATAATCCTAATGAAAGCACACATCAACCTCCAGGCACACTGCTCCCCTAAGTACTGGATCAGATTCTCAAGCTACCTTCATCAGTGCAGTTCAGAAGGCCCAAGTCACAGATCATAATGCCCTAACACAAGGCACTCTGCAAACCATGTGAACTTACAGGCTCTCTGACAATCTGAATGAGTAAAATCAAGCAACCTCAAAAATTATTGCCCGCTTGCAACATGCACAAGTGGAAGTCAACACAGTAGAAAGCTTTTCCCTATTTCATTTCGTCCTAGAAAAAGTGACTGAAGTGTAGAAATACAGCACAATGCCAGATACTGTCTTCTACTTGCTGCGCGAGAGGGTATGTGTAACAAATGACTCGAAACTTCTTACAAAGAAGCTTTTCTAATATACACCTGCTGTCCTAAAATCAGCTGTACTTTTACAGGAATGAATGGCAAAAAGAGATTATTTCCTCTGAATATCTTACCTCAATTTGTAAACTGTCATGTTCTACAAAGAAGTCCAATCTAGATGGAGCAACATCAAAAGTAATTCTCTCTCCTCTGTAGAACGGTATCTGAAAGAAGACACAATTTTGACTCCTAAAAAGCTACAATTACAGAATTGTTTCCCTTTATCCATTTCTATGTCTTTATCACCATCAGACACCTCTGTGGAGGGTCGACCAGGCTGCAAACTGCCTGGAAAAAAATAAATCAGGGGGAGTTGTCTTGTAGACAAGAATAAAGGCTGTAATTCAAGACTATTTGATGGAAACCACAGCAAAGGTACTTGCACATGCAAGAATTTACAGATAGACTACCTGATCTCTAGAAGGGCTAAAGGAATGAGAGGAGTTTGAATCCCAGTTCTAGATTGTGCAGACTGAGAATGCAAAACAATCACTCTAGGCAGTTTACACACCATCATGCTCCCCCACTACCAGGACATGACACAGAGAACAGGCAAAAAATAAAACAATGCACATAAAGCACATGAGGTAGCTGTACCAGCTGAAATTTTTCATCTCCCAGTAGCCTCTAAGTGTGGTTCTGTAACTGGCTAATATATTCAGGTCATTCAGAGCCTTATGTGCAAATAAATCCTTCCTCAGAAGGACATCCATGGAGCCCTACCAGAGCAACTTACTTCACTGTCACACACTTAAGGGTGAAGGTTCCTATTCCAATTATTTAATCCAATTCAAAATACTTCAACTATTTCTGTTTTACTAGCTACAAAGTTATGCATGATCTAGTTTAGAAAATTAAAGCTAACAACCCGATGAATAAACAAGTAATGACCTTTCTAGCTACTTACCACAGTGTATTTCCCACTTGGCAGAGAAAGAAAGCTGAAAGATCCATCTTCTTTTGATACAACATTGCACAAATAGGATAGAGATTCATCTCTTGATTGGAATCCATCCACAGGAGAAATATTGCAGCCCACAACATCCTGTGGCAGTAAATGCAACACAACTTTTTTACCATGGGAGAAGAGAGAAACTCGTTTCAGGGGGAATGTAGGAGAGTTCAAAAGATTGTATTGTGAATAAAGGATAGGAAGTACAAAACGATTTGAGAGGCAAAATTTGACAGCATGGCTTACAATTCATGTATAGGTAAAAACAGGAAAAAAATAACCAACCAATAATGAACGTCATGGTAACAAGGACAGAAAACTGGGAAATTCCACATCCCCCAGGATCCCAGGAGTGCACTGCATGTCTTAACTGACTTCAGTTCTGTGGACAAGGTTCTCATCACAGAACAGAGCTCTATTTTAACCAAGAAAACAAAGTACATGACCAAACATTTTACATTAGTTTCATGACACACTTTCAATGTGGCAACAGAAACTGAACTTTGTCTTCACATCAAAAGGGCAAAGAGCAATTAAGACCTCATGTTGAAGACAAATTACAGCTACTGTACAGTGAATACAGGATTTGTCTGCCAACATCTTGTGGTTTGTGCCAGACATATTTACTAACTAACATTTAACAAGCAAAAAGGTGCAACTGGAAAAATACAGATCAGTAACATGTAGGGAACCATTTTATATTTTGCACTTGTTGCTTGCTTCAGTTCAGGTCTCAGTCTCCTATATCTTTAACAGCCTGAATGTCCAGTTACCTGGCTGAAAACAATAATGAAGAGTCCAAAAGAGTTAAAATTAACATAATTTTCTAATTTCTTGTGTTTGAAAACAACATAGAGAACTTAAACCTCAATTTTGCCAACATTTACACAGATAGCTACTGTGTTCCACAATCAAGTAATTCCATGGAGGTCACGTGAAAACTCAGCATGTAAACAAATGTACACAAGGGCCTTGCTTAAAAAAAAAAATAAAATAAGAGAAAAAAAAGAACAAAAAAATACAGCTTGAGGGGTTTTCTATAAGCCAAGGTCAATGAAGGACAGACATGAGTAAGGGCAATATGAACCTGGGAGCTATTTAATGGTTTCTTATTTATGTCCTCACTCATACTTAAAAGATACTACTACACCATTACCTCTTTAGAGACAGATGAAGAGAAGAGGAGAAACATGACCCCTTTCATGGGCTCTCCATCACTCCTTACTGACCCAGAAACATTGTAGCCAGCAACAATCAGAGGGCTAGCAGCATAAGCATTAGAACTGGTCACTCGCACCACTGTGTTTGACTGAAATAGAGAAACACACACATTTTCACCAAAAGTAGTCATCAGATCTCATTTACAGCACCTAAGTAACAATCAGCAGCTGTATATTCAACAACAGAAACAGAGGCCACAACAAAAGTATTCAAAAGAGGGTACACAAGCTATTCAAAACAAAGACACCAAAGCAAAGATACTTTGCAAAACAGTATTTTTCCTGTTTCATTGATTCAGGAATTGGTCAGGATCTCAGAGCTCCTCAGCAAGCAAGCAGTCTGATAGAGAATGATTAGAGCACCTGCCATAACACTGAAGCTCCTGCAAAATGTATAGGATTAGATGACCAAAAGCAAGAGCTCATTTCCAGTCATTCCACGTCTGGTTCCACTATCTCCAAACTTGGCCTGCAAGAGGCATTTTCTTCACTACTTACATTCATGAAAATTCTGTTAACCTTGCCCACTCACAAAAACTTTTCCTCACAATAGCTGATCTGGACAAGGTCTAGCAGACCTGCCCTCACTAAACAGATAAACCACAACTTTTGTAGGCTCTAACCTCTTTCAACATCCAGGTAGGATGAGATGCAAAGATTTCATATTCGCCAGGAAGCACTTTAAAGAAAGCAAACCTGTAAGGCAAGAAAGGGGTTACATCTCTTCAGAAATAGTCACAAACATTTGTTTACAGAAAAACAATTCAGACTCTATACATGTTAGAAAAAATATTTCAGAACAACTATAATCCGAGTTGATATGGCAGAACTGAAAAAATCTTGTTTAAATTAATATCATGCATCACCCACACTCACTTTCCTCCAGGTTGTGTAATAGTTGATTGTATGTTGATGTCACTACCAGCATTTCTCAGTGCAACCTGGACTCCAGCAGGACCTAACATCTGACCTTTGCTGAGAACCTGGCAAAATGAAGAGAAAAAATAGTATAAATGGATAAAAATAATGTGCAGAACTGAAGTAGAATATTTTTTATGAAAGCAGAATTAGCATAAGATGGAATAAATAAAGATAAAGGAGTCTAACCTTTCCATTCACAGAAAACCCTGTGAACACAAAGTTAATGTCACCTCCCTTTGTGCAAATGTCATTAATGCCATCCACATGGATGTCTACACTGGTTGGTTCTGGAGGGGAAGAACAATAAAGCAGTATAGTAGTCAGTGAGAGAGCAATCATGAAGCATTTCTACTTTAGCTTTATAAAAATCTCACAGAAACACATTAACTCAAGTACACAAGTGCTGCTCTGGAAGTCTTGCCTTAGCAAATTAAAGCACCAAAAAATTCTGAAGTTGAAAATCCTCTTTTCCCCTCTCATTGCAGCCGTTTCTTTCAAAAATCCACATTCCTTCAAACCAGTTCATAGGTTACTTTGTATCTGCCTTATAGCTTTATTGGCCTCTGGTACAGTAAGTACATTTTAATTATTAAAAGCACATCATAGGGCTTATCTCTCTTGAAAAGTGCTAGATTTCCCCTGTCAACTGAAAGTCAGAGATAGTGAAGTCCCACACTGCAAATACACTCTACTATTGTAAGAAGACATATGAGCACTTACCGAAACTCCACCCTAGGGGAGGCTCAATTTTAAGAATGAAATCCCCCTAAAAATAAAAAAGCAATAACTGTCTTCACAGATATAAATTCAATTTAGCTGAAGTATGGGGGGAAAAAAAGTGAGAACACAAGTATCACACTGCAGAGAGTAACACAAGACTCAAATGCCTCATTCTCCTTTCCATCTACCTAAGATACTCAGTTCAATAAAGCAGGAATATCTACTCAGGCAGGCTGGAATGCTGGGCTCACATCCAACCAACTAAGAGCAAAAATTAAGTGTAATCATGTTTATATTACTTTTAGATCAAACCTGGCTCATGTTAAAGCAGCTCAGTATTAGAAAGTGTTCAAATCTCTCTACCTGCCCCAACAGATGTGTTCTAAATCAGCCTTTAGGATTTCCATTAGGAGGTCCTACTCAACCATTCTGTCCAACCATGGGACAGCAAAATTTCAATCCTATTAAAAGCTCTGTATCAAAAAGGTATTAATCTACACAGAGATCCTCTTTAATTCAGTGAGCACCCACATATACTGTGCCACATATGTTCTGAAGTTCATCCATGGAAAGGCTAAGTATTAAATCACTGGGATCAGAAAGCATCTTACATTCTTAGATTTCAAAGGGAAGGATTTATTTCTAATCCCTAAATGAACTAGGTCTTTAAAAGAGCAAAACACATCATCTGAGGGCAGCTTGTATTTATTTTGAATCCAGACATTTTTCCAGTCTAAAAATACATCAAACTTTTGATACATTCTGAGTTTCCTGTATAATTTTCCTCAGACATTTTTATCATGTACTTTTAGTGAGTACAGCTGCAAGCACATGGCAACTGGCAGTAACTCAGGCTCCCAGTGCTACAGTCACACAGATGAGTTGCACAAACACAACAACACAGCCGAAGTTACCTGGCTTTTCTCATGGTAATACTTAGCACTGAGAAATTAAATCATTGCATTACAAAAAGAAACACATGAAAGTTTAGCCCAAAACTAACTAAATTATGTCCTGATTGAGATGTTTTGTGGGTAGGTGTTATTCTGATGTTTAATCTGCTGGCAGCTCCTGCCCTCAGCCTAAAGGAGACAGAACTGGTATTTCAGTCTCTTACCTTATCATAGAGGGGAATCATGAAATACCCATTGTTTGGAGCACAATCTGTCTGGTATTTCAGAGTACCATGCTTTGTATACAGCTTAATCTAAAAGGAAAAAGACAGAAAAATACACTGAAATACGTGAGCAAGGCTGGCACCAGGCATTCACTGACCAAGTGCTTTTACACAGCAGCATTCGCTTGTCCCCAGCGGTTAACAGGGAGAAGGTTTATTGCAAGAAAACCACAACCCGCCAGGCAAAGCCGGCAGAGTTCAGCCCCGGGCAGGGAAGGACGCGCAGCCAGACCCCAGGCCCTGCAGCCGGACAGGGGGCGAGG